TTACAAGATAAGGCGCACAAACCAAACAGCCAACCACAGCCAAGCGAATAACAACAACAACAACAACAAAACAGATATATAACAATCAGAGAGCAAAAAAAAAATCTTTTAATTAATTATGCATCAGCGATTGCGTTTAAATAAAATTCATATCAGTCATATCTATTTGTTAGAGATTTTCATATACTTTTTGTTTTGATCAACTTTTTGTTTGTTCGTTTTTTGTTTGTTTGTTGTCTTCTTAGACAGACGCAGCAGCAACAGCAGCAGCAACAGCAGCAGTAGCGGCAACAGCAGCAGCAGTGGCAGTTGCTGTAGCTGCGGCTGTTGCATATTAAGCATACGCTATGTCATATGTCTATTGTTTGCTGGAAATCGATTAATAAAATTATTAGAGCATACGAATTGATTAGTTGTTCAGAAATTGGTTCAAATTAAAAAAAAAAAAGTTTAAATTGTTGCCAAAGTTAGTGAGAGCAACTCTTTCAGAAACTCAAAAATTTTGGCAATTATTTTGTGGAGCTTTCTAAATGTAAGAACAACTTTCTCTAAAATAATCTAGTTTGAAACTATTTCATTTTACAACTTTTGCATGCTTGCTGATGGTTAAAAAATTTTTTGAATTTGTTATATTATAATTTATAATATAATTTTAATAGCTTCAATACTTTCACTTTTTATCTTCTACGTTTTTAGGTATTCTACTTTTAGTACTTTGCACACATCTTATTATTAGTCAGTCTATGTATATTCATTTTCATATTAGAAATAGTGGATAGCTAAAAATTCAGCAATATAATATTTGGTATATAAACAGCATTTGATACTAAGCCAAGAGCTAACAAGTGAAGATCCAAGACTAGCCTGTACCTCAAGCTTGGGTCCCAGAATTTTAAGTTAATCTGTCTCATAAAAGACAAAAATAAATAAATAAATGTTATAATAATTAATTTGATTTACAAAAATTATCGAAATAGATAATTAATTGAAGATGTCAAAATTAGTTATTTTTCTTAAGTTTGGCAAGAGTAACCTAAAATGTTGTTAGGCATTTATTCTATCGAAACTTAAAAAAAAATTTGTTAAAATAAATAATGAGAAATAATTTACGTTTTACTTGTGTTTATGCAAGATTCCTCTGCTAGCCTGCAGAACAAAATATGAAGCCTACAAAAACGAGTTATTATTGATTCAAAATATAAATGTGAAGGCAAAATATGTTGATCAAACTCAAAATAAAATATTGTTACTAAATTGCTAAGATTTACCTTAAAGTTCAGAAATACTTAAATGTCTCTTAAAATGTCGAATGAAATCAGTTGGTATAGTCAAAGGACTATCGCTACTTGTATATCAATATAGAACAGAATATAGACATAAATCACTTAATCGTTGACAATTTATACATATAACATTTACCATTTTACTCTTCCTCTTACTAACGAAGAGCACTTCGGCAATGTTTGCCACATAAGAAAATCAAGTTCAASTTCATTTATTTATTTTGTGCTCTTTTTTCAATTTGAGAGATCCTTTAATTCTCTGCATAATTTCAAATCAGACAAGCGTTAAAAACATTTCATTATAACGCTACACAATCGGAATATTTAATGATTTAATCGGTCAACGGAATCAGTAACAACAACTGCAAACAGAGAGACAGAGAGACAGAAAACAACAAACAGAGGAGACAACACCTAAGTAGAAGCTACGGCTGTTGTTGCTGTTGTTGTTGCTACAGCCAACTGCAGACAACGTGGCTCGATTAACTGCTTCAAATTCACAGATTTTAAATTTAAAACGTAGCCACAGAGCGCAGCAAAACATGTAGAAGAGATGTGCAGCGCCCCCTTGCCGACTCCTGCTGCCTCAGCTAAGCCGGCTGCAGTCAGATATAATGGCGCGAGTTTCATGTTTACAAAAAAGATTATGCAGCGCCCAGCTCTAAACGTGCTGCAGACGCTGTAGCTGAGCCCCATAGCTGGAGCCGAAGCAGCTCCAACCTCAGTTGGAGCTGTAGCTGTAGCTGTAGCTGCGGCTGTAGCTGAAGTTCTAATTAAACAATTCGTAGAATTTCGCGTTAATTGCGAGAAAACGAGTTGAACGTGCAGCGTGGCTCCAAAATGCGAATGGAGCCATGCTTCGACTTGAAGCCATTGCATTTTTGTTCTTTTCCTTGTGTTTTTTTTTAGTGTTTTGTTTGTTTATTCTGTTTGCTGCACCTGAGAGACGTTGACACGTTTTGTGCGCTGAGAAAGCGCTGAACTTTGATTAGCTGCCATTAGAGTTATGCTGACATAGGATATGGCATAATTATGTGGGCAGATGGCAAACGGAGCTCGCTCAAGCTCTATGATTAACACACGTGACAGGAAAGGTGAGCGGGCTTTCGGTCGGCCGCTTGAGTGAGTGAGTGAGTGAGTGAGTGAGTGTGGATCACAACAGCGCAGAGAAAACTCAATTCAAATTATCGGCAAACAAGATCGACAGATGTTCAACAAAAGCAACGCAGAGCAACAACAACAACAGCAGCAACAACAACAATGAAGACGACAAAAAGAGGGCCACGTCTGCGGGACAGAGCTGGACGAGCTGCAAGAGGTCATTGGGGTGCAGCGACCGTTGTCCAGATCGAGGCGAGCAAAGGATCGATCGAGAGCCAGAGTTAAAGCCAAAGTCAAAGCCAAACCAGTCGCACGTTTCGCTGAGCAAATAACGCCCCATTTGTTGCCAAAATACTAAACTAAAGCCCTTAATCTAAACCACTTTGGGCAACGAAAGGGTACATGCAGCAGCAGCAGCAGCAGAGCCAGAGCAGAGATCGGTCAGAGCGATCGACATTCGACAAAAGCCACGCATATTTCGCATAGCCCAGGCACACCTTTGCACAAAGGCAACGCAGCGAGCGAGGCACACAAATCGAATAACCACAAGCAGCACAAACAAAAGCATAGAATATGCACACACACACACATGAGTGAGCGTGAGTGCGTGTGTGTGTGTGCATGTGAAGTACCCAAAACCCGCACACAGTCAACGTCAACGCAACGCTACCGTCGATCATCATCCTCGTCATTGTGGCTTGTCATAAGCGCTGCTCGTCAGCGATCCAATCCACAGGCACAGGCGCAGTCCAGGCAGACAGAGAGACAGCGAGCGGGACGGAGAGACAGGCAGCCGGACAGGCAGACACTCGACGGAGCAAACGGTGCTTATCAGCGGCGATTAATCTGCATCGCTGTTGCTGATAACGTGCACACAGGCGACCCAATAGAGCTTGCTGCCCAGCGTCGAACACATTTGTACCTCGGCAGCACAGCAGCAGCAGCAGCAGCAGCAGCAACCACAGTGAAGCCTCAGTGTGCGTCGCAGTGTGAGCCTCATCATTGTTAGCCGTGCGCAGTGGCAGCCAACACTCATGTTGAAATTATGATGGCTTCTAACTTGAGCCGCTTGACACACACACACACACACACTCATTCACTCACTCAACATATACACACATATATGTATGTGGGCATATGGGCAGCTCGATCATATCGTTAGATATAATCTTGATGATCTATTGACGATATGTTAGCTACGCAGATTTGTGGTTATTTTACCTCTTCTTCTTCTTTAAGTAAATGCTGTCAACAGGCGCACGACGGCTTTGGACTAACAACAGAATTTATGCTGCTTAGACAGATTGTCGATACACTGCAAGAAATAGTATGGCAATATATAATGTTGGTACACTGCAGGAAATGGTATGCAAAACTTGTTTTGGAATTTACTTTAATATATTTATATAATTATACCCTGAACCCATTGAAAATGGGAAATCAGGGTATAATGGTTTTGTGAAAAAGTATGTAACGGGCAGAAGGAGGCGTGGCAGACCCCACAAAGTATATATATTCTTGATCAGCGTGACGAGCTGAGTCGATATAGCCCTGTCCGTCTGTCCGTCCGTCCGTCCGTCCGTCCGTCCGTCCGTCCGTCCGTCCGTCCGTCCGTATGAGTGCGTCGATCTCAGAAGTTATAAGAGCTAGAGAGCTGAAATTTGGCATGCATACTCGTGTGTACCATACGCAGTACGAGTTTGCTTTATTTTTTCGATAAATCGTCCGATAACTTTTTTATCGAGAATAATCGAAAAATTGATTTTGTTTTTTTAGCCTAATTTGAACATTTTTAGACCTGGAGTCTTCAAATTTGTGTTGTATATAAAGTTAATCGATACAAAGATTTTGTAATTNAATTAAATATATGTACGAATCTGTAGATCTTTAGATATGTATATATATATTATTTACTTAGCATAATTTATGTATGTGATTCATTCTTCTCTATTTAAGATTATACCTGTTATTATGTAATATTTTTAAATGTGTTCCCCTCTATTCCATTCTCATGAACTCATATTAAATTTAATTTGAGCTATATAAAACGACGATTGTATATTCCATTTCAATTAATTGCTTTATTTACTAAAAGCGCAGCTCACATAGCTCTCGCAACTATATCTATTCTATGAAAAGTATTATATATTTTATTATATGCTAAGCAACTATACCTCGATTTTTGCGCAGTGTTCTTCATCGAGAAGAAATCTCTTGAACTTCTTTTGTATGAAAAAATTCAGAACTTTAGTTTAACATTTCCCCAACCACAACTTGAGTGGCTCTCTGCCATTCAGCTGTTGAGAATCACAGAGAAATGAGAATGTTAAGCTCAACAATGTTGCTGGCTTTGTGATTTGTGTGCTCGTTCGATGAGTCTCCCAGAGGGGCAATAATATTATACACGCTTGCTGTATAGCTTATCTGCATTGCTATATATATATATTATAAATATATATCAGTAAATATTGAATCAGCAGCCCGCACAGCACCCTCACCGTTCACTGCCCCGCCATGCCCACTGTCATCCCCAGTTTCCATTCCATAAGCGATAAGCCCGCAGCAGCCGACGCCGGCGCCAAGTCCGAGTCCAAGTCGATCGCGACTTTAGTGCACTGAGCGCGTTTTCAGACGTCGGTCGTAGAGCAGCCAGCATCAAGAGGAATCAAGAGGATTAATAAATCTGTATAGTGATGCATAGGCTGTGTCTGCTGCTGCTGCTGCTGGGACTACAGTGTCTGCTAGCAGCGCCCGTCTACGATGACAATAAACGCCTCAATGTGAGTGCCAGCTGCCCGGACAGCTCCTGCCGGCTGTGGGGCCTGCATAGCGACTATCAGCAGCCGCTGCTCTACTCGGGCGGCCAAGTGCTGCCGCTGCAGGCGCTGCAGCTGGGCAACTGCCAGATGAGAACGCTGCCATTGGAGCTGTTCCGCCTGACGCCCAATCTGCACAGCCTCCAGGTGCTCAACTGCAGCACCTACCATGTGAGCCGGGAGCACTTCGAAGCGCTGCCTCAGCTACGCCAACTGATGCTGCAACGCAACAAGATCGCTCGACTCAGTGGCCAGCCCTTTGGGTCGCTGCAGCAGCTGCAGGTGCTCCAGCTGGACCAGAACATCATACAGCTGGTGCCCGCGCAGGCCTTCGAGGGTCTCACGCAGCTGCAGGTGCTCGGCCTGCAGGGCAACGGCATCACCGAGCTGATGGCTGGCGCCCTTGCGGCACTCGCGAATCTGGTGCATCTCGACCTGAGCTACAATGAGATTACCCACATGGATGCGAAAACTTTCGAACGGAATGCCAAGCTGCAAACGCTGCTGCTCAAGGGGAATTCGCTGGCCGAGTTTGAGCCCAACTCGCTGGCAGCGCTGCCCGGGCTGCGCCTGCTCGATCTGAGCGAGTGCGAGCTGCATGAGCTGCCGGAGCTGCGCTTGCTGGGCGCACAGACGCTGCGGCTGGAGGGCAGCGGCGTGCAGCGGCTAATCATTGACGGCGGCGTTATCAATCTGCTGGCGGGCAACAATGCGCTGACGCAGCTCAGCATTGGCGATAAGAGCGCCGTCATCGAGCTGGATCTGCACGCCAATCAGCTGAGTGGCAACGTGACGTCGGCGCTGCTGCTGGGCATGTGGAACCTGCAGCGCTTGGATCTGGCCAAGAATAACATCGATGCGCTCACCAGCGGCAACAGCTCCAGTGCTCTGCTCCTGCCCAGTCTCTCGCAGCTAAATCTGGCCCACAATCAGCTGCGCAGTCTGCCGCCGGATGCGGCGCTGTGGCCGCCGCAGTTGACGCAACTGGACATCTCCTTCAACCACCTGCTGACTGTGACAGCTGGGAGCTTGGCGACACTGCCACGCCTACAGCGCCTGCATATGGAGGGCACGCGGCTGCAGGAGTTCGACCACGAGCTCTTCCATCGCCAGCATCCGCATCTGCAGGAGCTGAGCATCTGCGACACGGAGCTCAGCTTTAAGCAAATGCGCCGCATGATGATCTACTTGAGCGATCGTGGCGTCCATCTGCCGGTGCACTGCCTGCAGAGGCCGGAGCCGGGCACCATAGATGCCCGATCAGTGTCCACAGAGTTGGCGGCTCCAGATGCAGCTGTGCTTCAAACCCGGGCTGGCGTCACCGGCATTCATCCGTATTGGACGACCCGGGACATCCTGGCCTTCCTCACGCTCCTGGCCGTGTTCATCATTCTGCTGATGCAGCTCTACCGCATTCTGGACGAGGAGGGCTGCCTGTTGCGCATGCACCTCTGGCTAATGGGCAGGCAACCCGTCCTGGACAATGGCACCCGGAACAGGCGCCTCAACGAGCAGGACTCTGAAGTATGAATCCGACGTATGAATTCTTTTACTTTATTATTTTTTCTCCAATATTTTGCTTCTTTTTCAACCATTTCTCCCACTTAACAGAGCTCTAGTGATTAATCGCAAGACTACGTACACGCAGAGAAAACTCTAGCACTATTCAATTGGCTAATTCAAGGTAAAGCTGTAAAATCAATTATTTAATTTGCTTTTCTTAAGAAATAAAATAAAAAGCAATAATAAATTAAAACAAGTTGAATGCTGGGAGTAAATATTGATTTATATAATTAAATAAATAAGTAAATATAAACAAAATATGATTGTAAATATATTTAGAAATACAATTTACTAATATTAAGCAATATGTAAATAAAGAAAAAAAAAAAATACACACAAATATAACCGGTTCTGCTTTTCAACTATCGCTTACATTTCTTACAGTGTATATATTAAATTTATTTAATTATACAAAACAACATTTCTTTTAAATGTATACAGCGTTTTCCCTTTTTTAAATAAATTGATTAAACTCTTAGTTTATTAAATTTAATTAAAAAGATTTTTTGTAAATTACAAATTGTAATGTACAAATTGTAATGTATATCAAAAATTGTATATCAAATTTTTTTGTTTATTTAATTATTTATTA